AGGCGGGCTTCCCTGGTGGCACAGTGGTTGAGAGTCCACCTGCCGATGCAGGGGACATGGGTTCGTGCCCTGGTCCGGGAGGATCCCACATGCCGTGGAGCGGCTGGGCCCGTGAGCCATGGCCACTGAGCCTGCGCGTCTGGAGCCTGTGCTCCGCAATGGGAGAGGCCACAACAGTGAGAGGCCAGTGTAACGCAAAATAAATAAATAAAAAATTAATAATAATAATAATATGCTATTTCACATAAAAATTGTTAAACGCTGAACAAAAATATTATTTATCTGACTTGTTAAAATGGACTACTGGTGAGAATGTAATTGCTACAAGCCTTCTGGAAATAAATTTGTAAATATGCATCAGAAGGTTTAAGTAAAGCATAACTTTTGACAGGTATTTATCATTCTAATAAGGAATTATTCAGAATTGTAGTCAAAGCTACATCTTCAAAAATCTTATAGATAATAGTTATTTATCTTTATTAAAGATCACTACACAACTTATTCAACCCCATGTATCCAAATAATTTAATAAAATGGAGACATGCTCACAATGTAATTCCATGTGAAAAAAAGATTAAAACTTTTATGTAAGTGTTGGTCTTAATATTGCATAGTCAGAGGAGAAGAGAAGTTGATCAATTACTTCACATGGAATAGAGTGGAAGAAGAGATTTATAAGTATTTTATTTTTTCTTATATTTTTCTTCATTTCAAAAATTCCTAAAATGAGTGTATGTCATCGTTTCCTTGAGCAACATGATAGAATTACTGAAAAGGCAGCAGTAGTTTAAGTGCATTGCTGTTAATTTGCACCTATTACATGTTTGTAAATATAATCTCAAAGCAAATATAACTCCTAACTACCTGTTCTAATGCTTTTTTGTTTCAAAATATCACAAGAAGTGAAAAAATAGCTCATTCTTGGAGAATTTTTTGGAGTTGACATTTTGCTCTGTGTGGTGTTGTATCAAAAGTCAAAGTGATCTTCTTGTAAACTAGTTGTACAAGTAAGATTCCACAGAGAAAGCAACTAAAAGTCAGTGATGACACAGATTTAAATGTCAATGTGGGTGGTTGATATTAGAGGTACAGTAATCACTCAGGGCTGAAGAGAGTTATTAGAAGCTGGAATTTTGGAACTTTTTACAGCAGTGTATGTCATTGGGATAGAGGGAAATTATGCAAATACTGGAGTACGTAGGCTGCATTAAAGTGGAAGCATAATGATCAAAATGTTAAAAGTTACAAAGACGGGAGCAGAAAGTGTGTGGAGATCAAAAAGGAAATAGAAGAGATGTTGAATATTCTTGTTCTAGGCATATTCAATTTTTTATTTAAAGTTATAGAGAATTGAGTGTCAGAATAGAGACTTTTCAACAAGTTTTGGGTCCTTGGAAATAACAAATATGATGGGATTAAATTGATTGTTAAATATTCTGGGGATCCTTCTACTTGCCAGTTTCTGGATGAACTTGAAAGAGGAATAAATTTGGTAAAGGAAATAAAATTCATCCCTGAATAATGAAATATAATCTTAAGATGGAAAATATTTTGTAACCATTATCTAAACTATTATCAAAACAATCAGTAAAAGTTAGGAAAGATTTTGGGCTTCACTGGTGGCGCAGTGGTTGAGAGTCCGCCTGCCAATGCAGGGGACGCGGGTTCGTGCCCCGGTCTGGGAGGATCCCACATGCTGCGGAGCGGCTGGGCCCATGAGCCATGGCCGCTGAGCCCGCGCGTCCGGAGCCTGTGCTCTGCAACGGGAAAGGCCACAACAGTGAGAGGGCCGCGTACCGCCCCAAAAAAAAAGAAAGTTAGGAAAAATTTAGTTATAAAGAGTTCAGCGCAATTATGGAAAGGGTTTGAAATGTAGGCAATACTATTTGTAACCTAAGCCAAGAAAACAAACGTCTTCATTGTTCATTTCTGCTTTACCTAGAAACCAATCCAAGAGCATATATGCAGGTTGTCTCTAAAGTTAGGATTGCCAGATAAGACAAAGGATGTCCAGGTAATTTTTAATGTCAGATAATAAATATTTTTGTTCTAAGTATTTTGCAAAGTATGGGACACTTATGCTAAATATATGTATACATATTTGTAGTTTATCCCAAATCCAAAATTAATTGGGTATCCTGTGTTCTCTTTGCTGAATCTGGTGACATAACTCTAGAGGCTGATACTTCTGAGTATATTCTAAATGACCCCAGTTGGGGACAGAAAAGTATCCACCTTCCCCTTAAGAGGCAGGCCAAGATAACTCTACATATCTAGTCAATTGTCTGACCAATGAATACACTCTGACATCTGGGCCAAACACTGATTGCCTTAATAAATTTGGTTGCAAGAAATTGAATTTGGTGTGTTTATAGGACGAGCAAGGGGAGTTGTCCAGTGAATTTAGACAAGTAGTTTTTGGATTTCATGATAAAGATATAGTTAGGAAATGTTGGAGACATTTTTATTCTGTCAAAATGGTGGATGACATTGTCCAGAAAGAACATACATAGAAAGAAGAGAACACAGATCCTTAAGACGTTGATATCATAGGTCAGATACATAAGAGAAGTTTTCCTTAACAGGCAAAAGTAGCCAGTTATTAGCCTATAAGAAATTACCTGTTTTGTTTTGTTTGTTTGTTTGTTTTTAATTTTCCGGTAAGTGGGCCTCTCACTGTTGTGGCCTCTCCCGTTGCGGAGCACAGGCTCCGGACGCGCAGGCCCAGAAGCCATGGCTCACAGGCGCAGCCGCTCCGCAGCATGTGGGATCCTCCTGGACCGGGGCACGAACCCGTGTCCCCTGCATCAGCAGGCGGACTCTCAACCACTGCGCCACCAGGGAAGCCCAAGAAATTACCTGTTTGATAGATAAATGCACAATAAGTTTGATTGGAGGCAAACTGTGGAATTTCACTGTTTATGTCTACTAACTTAATTTTTAATACAGTTCAACATAATATACATCGAACATTTAATGGGATTACAGCAACAGCTCTCTATAGAACTTTTAATAACATAACAATTTTCCTTATCACATAACATACAGACACCTTTCAGAACCATTGAACCATGGGAAGATAGAAGGAGAATTTCTATATTCTTTATAGATCCTAGATAACGTTTTAACTGTATATTATTGAATTGCTTTAGTACAATCAGTGTAGTGTGGCATGTTGTAATAACTGTCATTAAGTTCTCTGTAGAATAAAAAGACATCAACCAAACACTTCTGAAAACACATCCTGTAATTTCCAGTAGTATAAAGATATCTACTAGATGATAGTTTAATTGTACCTGATTGACCATATAAAAATTTCTCCAAGAATAATTCCATTTCCTATCGTCTCATTTAATGAAGTGACATAAATTTTTATGGAGATTTTACTTTATAGAAATTATATCAATAAAATTCAATATGGCTTTCATTGGAATTTTTCATTTCTTAGAGCCTTTAAACAAGACATGTGAAAAGCAATAAAATAAATGCTAGATTCAGTATTTGGCCTAGGTTACCATATTAAAAATGCTATAACCCAACAGTTTTAACTTCAATAAAATATAGTAACGATTTCCTTTAATGTCTTATCCTGCAAAGGTAGAAGAAACCAAAATATCTCTAAACAGTATTTGTATAGCCCTAAATATCACTGCAGAAAAGCATTATTCATATTTGTAATACAGCTTTATGGCACCAATTTAGCTGAAAAAACGTATATGTATATATCTTTTATATGGCACTTTCACTTCAGAGATTTAGATACGACTTGTTTATGCAATGCTGAGTAAAATAGAAAGTTTTTCTCTTTTTTTTTCTGGTAGCAAAGCTTGGTATTAAGAATGCTTAATCTTATAGGGAGGCCTTGATTCTGAATGTAACCAGAGTCACATCTCAGAAAAGGCAATATTGGGCTTGAAAATATATGGGGAACACTTGTGAAATGTGGGACCAATTTTTGAGTCATATTATGAGAAAAGGAGAAATATAGGAGTCGTTTGTCACCAAATGCTCTTTCAGCCACACAACAAATAGTCAGATACGGGGAGAATCACCAGTGATTCTCCCACTCCTTTTTGTCCTTACTTTATGTTTTATTCTGGCTATTAAAAAAAAAAAATCTGCGTTCTTGGTGTGTTAAACAAGAACTCCAGGAGCAGATACCAAGCACTTGGTGCTGTCTCAATAGAACGTGGCACTTTCAGTTTGAATTTAGATGTTTTTATGGTTACTGAAAACATGCAGGGTTTTAGAACTGGCTCTGTGGGAATCCTGCCACTATGTTTCATTTACTTTTTTGTTCTGTGCTGCATTTACCCATTTTTCCCTTTTTAAGCCATGTGACTCCTAAAACATCTCCAAAGGAGAAGGACAAGAAGAGAGGTCCTTTTGACTCCTCATCATGTTACATGTTTCTTCTTAGAGTCATCTTTGATCTTTACTCTGCATCACCTCAGCAGAACTCTTCAGAGCAAGGCTTGTTTTTCAGTGTTCTCCTAATTTCCCCAAGTTTATGGTGGAGCATTGGCTTCCTCAGAATGTTAAGAGACATTAAATAAAAATGGTTCCAGGGTCAACTCCATCTGGAAAATACTTGAATAGTTATAACGGGAGTATGTTTTAGTTGCAAGAACTTCTCAATTCTGCAACTTTTATATTTTATATGCTTTCAAAAACCTTTTAATCTGCTAAAGTACAGTGTGATTTTCTAAGTGGGAGACACAGTAAGCAAAGTTTCCACATATGATTGTGAGACTTTTTTTTTTGGTGAGCATTTGTGGAACCAATGACCCACCAAAAACACTTTAAGAAATATGAACCTGGGGCAGAAGCTTTCATCTCTTTGTTATTTGGATCATTATAAAGATTTATGCTTTTAATAAAAGAACAGAGATGTGCTAATGAAAAGCCAGGAAACTGGATGTATTCTCAGGACTTCCCTGGTGGTTCAGTGGTTAAGACTCTGTGCTTCCACTGCAGGGGATGCAGGTTTGATCCTGGTAGAAGAATTAAGATCCCGCATGCCTCAAGGTGCAGCCAAAAAAATAAAAGAAAAAGGAAACTGGATGTATTCTCTCACTCATTCATTCCTTCGGACACTTAGTGAGCTTTTATGTTATCCACCTAACTGCTGGGAAGACCTCAGTGAACAAGGTGAGTCAGATGAGTGCTTTACACTCCAATGGGAGGAGGGTGAGAGGGAAGGAAAAAAAAAAACACACCAGCCTCTTTGTTGTTGCTTGAATGCATCAGGTATTCAGCTGTCTTAAGGTCTTTGGATTCACAGTTCTCTGTGCCTAAAGTGTACTTCCACAGATATGCCCATCACTAACTAGGTCATAGAGTAAGTATGTGTTCAACTTTTTAGTGGATAATGCCAAACAGTTTTCCAAATCATAGAAGCAATTTAACTTCTCACCTTCAGTTCATAAGTATGTCAGATCCATATGTTCTCCAAATTCTGTACATTTTGCCCATTTGAATATCCTCTGTTCAAGTCCCTGACCCATTTTTCTATTAAGTTTGCTTTTTTTATCCTATAAAGGGTATTTTTTGATGGACAAGCATTTCTAATTTCCTTTCCAGTTAGTAATATTTTCTTGGTTAAGACAACTTTGTTTACCTTAAAATCATGAAGATTTTCTTCTATGATACCTTGAAGAAGATCCTTTTTTCTTTAACATTTAGATTATTATCCATCTAGAATTGATTTCTGTGTATATTGTGAGGTATAGGTGAAAGTACATTTTTCTAAATGATGTCCAATCGACATTTATTGAACATACCATCATTCCTCTGCTGCATCATATACAAGTGAGTCTCTTTGTTGACCATCTATTTCATTGGTCTATTTCTCTGTGTCTATCCTGTAGCTTTATAATGACTTTATTATACAGTTATTTTCCATTTTTATTTTTCTTCTTCAAGACTATCTTGGCTCTTCTTGGTCTTTGATTTTGATTGAGACTGTATTTATCATATAGATCAATTAGAGGTGAATTGATGGTTTTATAACACTGACCCTTTCAATCCATGATATATTCCTGGTAAACATTTCTGAATCTGTCTGTGAGTGTGTCTCTGGGAGAGATTAGGCTGTGAATTAGTAGACTGAGTTGAAGAAATCTCCTTCACCAATGACAGCAGGATCATCCAATCTGTTGAGGGCCTGAATAGAAGAAGGGGGAGAAAGACACATTGGCTCTCTCTGCTTGAGCTGAAGCATCCATCTTCTTCTGCCTTCAGACATTGGTACTCCTGGTTCTTGAGATTTGGGACTCAGATCGGGACTCACACCATCGGTTCCCTAATTCTCAGGCCTTTGGACTCGGACTGAATTACACCACTGGCTTTCCTGGTTCTCCAGCTTGCAGATGGAAGATTATGGGACCTCTCTGCTTCCATAACCAGGTGAGCAAATTTCTGTCATAAGCCTCCTCTTATATATCTCTCTATATATCCTATTGGCTCTGTTTCTCTGGGGAACCCTGACCAATACACCATAAATCACATTGTTAGGACAAACTTATCTGGTAAAATGGGTGCAGCATAACCCAAAGTCAGAGGCATACAAAAATGGTCTTATCAAGCAGAATATTACAGGAGTAAAGAGCTCATTTCCTAGGAGCCATCCAAGGACCAGTCCTGAAGACAAGCCTTTCTTTGGAATGTGTAGGGTTTGAACAACCCTGGTTTAATGAGTTAACCCTTTCCTGAAGAAGTGCCAACGTTTTATGATGGTTTGGCATAGGAGCTGGGAGAATATACTGAAATGTGAACATTGTTAAGAATGTAAGTTTAGGAGAAGTATCATACTAGGTTCTAACTGTGAGATTTGTTGAAATTGTAGGGCCTATTGAACATCCAATAGATGTTAATTAGGCACCCAGATATACAGGTCGGGGGTCTGGTATGGAGTTTTAAGCAAAAGATATGATTTTGAGAATCATGATCAAACAACCGTGACAGTCTATGTGTTCATGCAAGTACTGGGTATAGATAACCAAGGGAAGAAGACCAAAGACTAAGAACCTAACTTATTCTAAGGTTGGAGGTCTTAGAGCCAGCAAAGGAGATAGGGGAGGAATGTCCAATAGAACCAGTTTCTCTTTTCATTGATTTTTCTCTTTTCATTGATTTTTCTGTATTGGCTGAGGGCCATCCCAGGAAGAAAGGAACTCTCAGGTACTTCTGGTTCTCTTCTGGTGTATTTAGCCAAAGTGATTCTATTAGGCTAATGGCAGTCATCAAAGGCAGTATACTTCAGAGCTTTTATAATCAATAAGATACAAAAGTCTAAAAAGAAGCATAAAGAAACATAAGTGGGATCTGAAGAGAAATGGGCAAAACATTAGCAATGTCCATTATATAATGTATGTAAAAATTATGAAGCATCATAATAGAACTTACTGGTAAACCCACCATGGAATTTGGTAAGTAAATCGTTATCTATGCCAGTGTCACTATTAGTGTATTTTCTTCTGATCCTTGCAACTCCTTAAGATAACCACTGTTGTGAATTTTATATTTACTATTTCCTAGCTTTTTTAAAAAACAAACTTTTCAAAAACATTATACAACTTAAAATATATAAAATTGATTTTGCCGTTTTCAGTTTTATAAAACTGATATCATACCGTCATAGCCTTCTGAATTTATCTTTTTTTATTCAATATTGTTTGAATTATTTTTCTAAGATTTATTTATGTTATTCCATGTATGAATATTCGTTCATTCACTTTGCTGTGTAAAATTATATAAAAACTTAAACATTTTTTATTATAATGTATATTTTGGGCTTTCCTAGATTTTGGCTATTTCACATAATATTACTACATTCATTCTTATATGCATGTAAAACAATTTAGCAACTTAAGGAATAATGTTGTTTAGAGAAAGGTATATGTATGTTCATCTTTAAGAGCCATTGTTTACAAATAGATGTGTTTGTATATTCGTGTGTGAAAACCAAACTTTTGTTTATTTATTTATTTTTTAATTAAAAATTTTAATTGAAGTATACTTGATGTACAATATGATATAAGGTATAGGTGTACATTATAGTGATTCACGATTTTAAAAGTTTTTAATCCATTTATAGTTATTCTAAAATATTGACTATATTCCCTGTGTTATACAATATATCCTTATCTTTGTATAAGGATATATTGTATCCTTATCTTTGTATCCTTACCCAATATATCTTTGTAGATAATAGTTTGTATCTCTTAACCCCCTATTCCTATTTCACCCCTCCTCACTTACCTCTCCCCACTGGAAACCACTAGTTTGTTCTCTGTATCTGTGAGTCTGCTTCTTTTTTTTATATTCACTAGCTTGTTGTAGTTTTTAGATTCCACATGTAGGAGATATCATACAGTATTTGTCTTTCTCTGTCTGACTTATTTCACTTAGCATAATGCCCTCCAAGTCCATTCATGTTGTTGCAAACAGCAAAATTCCATTCTTTATATGGCTCAGTAGTATTTCTTTGTGTATATATTACCACATCTTCTTTTTCAATTCATCTGTTGATGGATCAAACTTTTAAAATTATAGAGAATGCATATATTTTAATAATTATTAAGGCTCTAGCTCATTATTTCTCTTTTTAAAAAAAAATTTCATTACTAGGCATTGATCTGTTCAGATTTTCTACTTCATCCTGATTCAGACTTGGAGAATTGTATGTTTCCAGGAATTTATCCATTTATTCTAGGTTGTCAAATTTGCTGGCATATAACTCTTCATAGTATTATCTTATGATTGCTTGTATTTCTGTGATATCAGTTTTAACTTTCCCTGTTTCATTTCTAATTTTATTTATTTTGGCCCTCTATTTTTTTGATAAATCTGTCTAAAGGTTTATCAATTTGTTTACCTTTTTAAAAAATCATCTCTTACATTGATCTTTTCTATTGTTGTTTTGGTCTTTATTTTATTTATTTCTACTCTGATCTTTAGTTTTTCCTTCCTTCTTCTGACTTTGCATTTTGTTTGTTCTTCTTTTTCTAATTTCTTTCCTTTAGGTGGAAAGTTAGGTAGTGTTTTTGAGATTTTTCTTATTTATTGAGGTAAGCCTGTATTGCTATAAACTTCCTACTTAGAATTGCTTTTGCTGTGCCCCATAAATTTTGGAAATATTTGTTCCTGTTTTCATTCATCTCAAGGTATTTTTTAATTTCCTCTTTGATTTATTCATTAACCCATTAGTTTCCTAGTAGCATGTTGTTTAATCTCCAAGTGTTTGTGATTTTTTCTGGTTTTCTCCCTGCAGTTGATTTCTAGTTTCCTATCATTGTTGTCAGAAAAGATGCTTGATATGATATCAGTCTTTTAAAATTTATTAAGACTTGTTTTATGGCCTAGCATGTGATCTATCATGGAGAAAATTCCATGTATACTTGAAAGGAACGTGTATTCTGCTGTTTTTAGATGAAATATTCTGTAGATATCAATTAAGTTCATTTGATCTAATGTTTCATTTAAGGCCACTGTTTCGTTATTTTTCGTTATTTTTTTTTTTCTGATGTAAGTGGGGTATTTAAAGTCCCTTACTATATTGTATTACTGTCAGTTCCTCCCTTTATGTCTGTTAATACTTGCTTTAAGTATTTAAGTGCTCTTTTATTAGGTACAAATATGTTTATGAATGTTATATCTTGTTCTTAGAATAAGCATATATTTTAATAAGAATTTTAATAATAATCAGAAAACCAGAAGAGAGAAAAATATTTTTCAAGGCCATAATTGACCATGAGAAATTCACCTTGTAGGTGAATTTGCTAAAGTCATAGGAAGAAAAATAAATCATGTAATACCAAAAACATGCCTGAATAGTTTAATAGAGGATTTTGCAATATGTTAAAGGAATTGTGAAATCATTGATTCACATTATAATAACTATTCTCAATCAGATTACTTATCACATTTTATTTTAATTGATTTTTTTTGTTCCTATCTGCCATTGCCTCATGGTAAACTCAGATCATTTTTGTCTCTTCACTACTAATTATCACCTCTGTATGCAATATTTTGTACATGTAGGCAAAACAATAAATACTCACTGAATTAATGACTGGGATAAAAACATATAATAACTGTGTGCCAGTTGCTGTTCTAGGTGCGGCTGGTACAATGGTAAACAAGATAGAACAATCTCTGATTTCTTGTAAGTTACATCATCATTTGGGGCTTTAATTCTAGTGAGGAGGTACAGTATAGTGGCTGTGATACACTGTTCCTAAAATAAATTACCTGTGTTACCAGTTGGAAAGAATTGTCACAAAATTACTATCTCCATTATGTTTGTTCCTCTTTGAAGTAACTCTACCAAGCTTTATTAAAGCAAAGCTGTATGTGTGTGTGTGTACACATCACACATGCTGGTACACCATCGAAGGATACAGTTATGTAAAACTCACCAGTGATAATGATTTTAAATAATTTAAATTAAAATCATCTCCTGAGAGCTTATGGTATTCATTCTGTCTCTGAGAAACATGAAAAATAAAAAACAACTCATCAACCTTCAGTGAGGAGGTCACCACGCAAACGAGCACAGAGGCTCAGGCACCATGCCTTCCAGTCCAGTTGGAATGGCTCCATCAGCAAGACCCTGTCACTGAAGCAGCACTAGATGTTAGAAATGTAACTAACTGCAGCAGGGTTTCTCTGACAGCACAAAAGAGAAAGAATGTTTTTCAATGAAATTTTAAGGATTATAAAATGGATTTTGAAGTCAGTGGCATCATGAGTAAAGTTTTCTTTTATTTAACTCTTCTGCTGAATGAGTCAACACAAATTGGAGTCATTCAACCAAAAGGGACACCTTACCCTTCAGAAAGAGAATAAATCAGGCACTTTTATGAAATAACATAACAGCCATCTTTGGTAGCACTGGCAAAAAATATGTGTGTGTGTGTGTGTGTGTGTGTGTGTGTGTATAGTAGGTGCTTGCATTTTACCATCTGGCCTTGTAAAAGGAAGGAAACTTTTTACAAAGCGGTGGATTATATCCTAGTTAGTATAGGTTTGTCTCAATTTCTACTTTATATTGCCAATAGGAGAAAAAAGCTTTCAATTATATGTCCTGAAATCTCAGCTGATTGTTTTTTCTTTTGGAAAAAAAAGTAGGAAAATCACATTATCCATGCTTCAAAAATAAATTATTGCTACTACATTTGTCTGCTAGTTCCTCATATTTTGAAAGCGATACAAGAACTCAACCTATTGCTTGAACCATTGAGCTTGCTTTCTTTACGAGATGGTATTTTTTAGATGAAGAAAATCTTTCTGAGGGTATTATGAAAAACTAGGTTCTTACCTTTTGATATTTTTATCATTCTATTGTGAAATTCCTTGCTGAGTCTGGACTTTTATAGCTAAATGCTTTCCTAAAGACAGATGAAGAATGTACTTACGTTTGATTGCAGGAAGAGACCCTAAGAAATAAGAACTGAAATGTCATTTTGATGCATACTGGCAAGTCTGTGTGCATGGCTGTGTTCAGGTGGTAACGTATAACTATGTAAACCATTATATCTGTAAAACCTATTTCCTGAGACAACCATACTGGAAGAGAAAAATTAAGAATGGTCAGTAGATGTTGACTAGTTGTCATTTATATGTTTCAAAAGAACAAAATGCTCTTGCCATCAACACAGATTTAATTATTAGGACTCATTTCCTATCCAATATAGGTGATAATTTTATGTTCTTCTATGTATTCTTCACTGACCATTTTATGGAACTTAGATTCAAGTTCTGATATTTAATATCTATGAAATATTTTGAAATTGGTTTGGGTCTTTTTTCACAAGTGGTGAGTTGTTTCTATAATATCATGCAATTCTGAGACAAAAAAAAACCCACAAAAAAGAAAATACAATTTTATTTCCCTTTCATTTCCAAGAAAATATGCCAAAAGAGACCAATTTTAATGCAATTAAATTGAAAGCCATGCCTTTTCTGGTACTGCTCTGCTTTGAGAAACACCATAGAATTTATGTTGGCATCCTTGTATTGTAGGTATTTGCATAATCTCTATTTAAATTTGTACCATAAGCATTAATGATGGGCTAAAAGGCTGTTGTAGAAAGCCAAGAACTGACTTATTATATAATACATTTTTGACATGAACACTAGGTCCAGTGTTTCTCTGCTTGGCAAGGATGAATGTTTACTTCAAGGGCTGGAGAAAATATGCCGTGCCCCATGCCTCCAACAGTTTCTCTTATTCGGTAGCTAGCCTCGTTGAGAGCAGAATGGAGAAAACAACTGAAGAGCTGGAGCTGCTTAAACTGAAAGCAGGTCCATGGAAACTGGTCCCTAGGTGCTGCTCTGAACTCTGTAAGAGTGACATCAGTGTTTCCACACTCAGTCATTTCAAAATTCTTGCATTTTTATGTTGTTTATTCATATATTTTTGCTTTACTTATGCTATTCTTTGGCTTCGAATTCCCTTCTATTGCTTTATCAGAAGGAATAATGCCTTAGCTTTGTTATTCCTTCTCCTAAAATAATAGAATACTGTAAGTCCTGAATATATATTATATAGGAGGACCCCATGAATAAATGCAGTTCTTGAGCATCTCCATATTGTAAGGTCTTTGATATGAGATATGGTTTTTATTGTGTACGACTGTAAACTCTTTTGTTTCTAAAGGTCAATTGTCAGTATTTCAAATCATCAAAGAAAGGAATCAAAAGGGCATTCTGGCTACTGAAAATTCTTTTTAGTCCTCAAGCCCTAATTTGTATTTCAAACTGATGTGGGTGGCTTCCCCCATTCTTTCCCTATGTACCCATCTCCGTAATGATATGTACCACACTTACATTCATGTGGTAGTCTAGATTTAATTATCATTGCCTCTACTTTGATGCATTCATTTACACAAGTATTTATTGAGTGACTATGATGTGCCAGACACATAATAGGCAGCACAACATATGGAACAAATGCCATACTGTCTGGTTCAAACCCTATGTCCAAAAAATTCTGTCTCTATGACTTTGTGCCAGTTAATCTCTCTGTGACTTACGTTTTTCATCTTTAAATGGGGATAATAATAGTAATAATAAAAATAGTTTTGTTTCTTTTTACTTCTAGAGAGTCTTATTTGGGGAGGAAAACTCTGTTTAATGACAAAAGTAAAAGACTGGTGCTGATATCAACTCCCTGGACATGTCTTTGGAGAGACTTGGGCCGTATGGGAATGCCCACAGCCTTCTCAATACAGTAGTCCCTCCTGATCCAGGGTTTCATTTTCTGTGATTACAGATACCTGTGGTCAACCATGGTCTGAAAATGTTAAATGGAAAATTCCAGAAATAACTCATAAGTTTTAAATTGTATGCTGTTCTGAGAAGCCTGATAAAATCTCGTGCCTTGCCGCCCCATCCTGCCTGGGATGTGAATCATCCCTTTGTCCACGCTACATTTGCTACCTATCAGACCGACTCTCACAGTATCAACAGTGCTCGTGTTCAAATAACCTTTATTTTACTTAATAATGTCCCCAAAGCACCAGAGTAGTGCTGCTGGTAACCTGTATATTCTCTTACTGTGCCTAACGTGTAAACTAAACGTTATCATAGTATGTATGTATATGGAAAACCTATAGGATTCAGTACATCTGTAGTTTCAGGCATCCATTGGGGGTCTTGGAACAAATGTATCCCCCATGGATAAGGGTTGGCAGAGCAATGTATTCCCGTCTAGGAGATTAGGAGAGGCCTCTCTGTCAACCACAGTTTAGGGATTAAGAAGAAACAGAGTTGTGAATTACATATTCTCTGTGCAGGACCACTGTGAGCTTTACCAGTGCTATTTCATTCTGTCCAACTCATTCTATCTCAAACCCACATGGTTGGTAGGATTATCTCTATTTTACAGACTGACAAAACCAAAAACACAAAAACTGAGAATCAGAGAGGTTACATATTTTTTCTAAGATAACAGAGTAGGCGGCAGAGACAAGAGTCAAAAATCATGGTTTTCCAAATCTAAGCCTTATTGTCCTCAGTCATCTCCACAGCCACCAACTTCACTCTCCAGCTTCAGTGCTAATTTTATTTTTCTTCATATAATAAGAGCTAATAATATATGTGTCAGGCTGAGATCTAAGTGCTTTCTATCAATCCTTCTAACAATCCTGTATGACAGCCTCTGTTATTCTCTTCATTTACAGATGCAGAAACTGAGGTACAGAAAGGTGACTAGGCCAAGGTCACACACTTCATATGTGGTGAGACATGCAATCTGTTCTGTGTTCTTAACCATGTACCTTAGTACCAGCATATGATATGCTATCTATTTTTACTTATTTTATTTTTTGTCAGTTTATTCTTCTTTGACTATAATATCAACTCCATGAGAACAGATTTTTGTCTTTCTTTTCTTTGATTCCCTGCCTTTTTCCAGGGCCTAGCATATTAAGGACTCTTAATCAACATTTATTGAATAAATCGTGCTGCTTCTTTTGGGGTATAGGAAACTGACATTGGAGATGTGAACTCTCAAGAGTTTGGCCCAAAATAGCTCAACCTAAGATGTTAGGAGTGAGGCATTTCCCAATTGCGTGGGAGACTGGCCTTCAATTATTTCCTGGCTGACCCAACAGGACAATTTCTGGCTAAGGAAGCTCTGTTATTCAGTCTCTGAGGATCATCTGTTCTGGTCTGAGCATCTAATTAAAGGAATCATAACACCTCTGATTGCAGATTTTTGTGGGGCTCCCCTAAATCTTCTCTCATGTAGGTCTCAGATACAAAGTAACACACTGTGAAGAATATGACACCTTGCATTAAACTGGACCTGACAACTCAGACATTTGTGACCTGGGGAGTGTTTCTTAGCATGTCTAAGCTTTTGTTTTATTCTAAGTCAGGCTTAAAAATATTGAGCTCACAATAATTAGTTTGTAATCTGGTCCATAGTAAGAATGCAAATTTAGTTGTGCTCTGGAATTTGGAGGTTGTTTTAGTTCTTTTATCTCTGATTCCACCTACTGTTGAAAGTTAGAGCTGGAACAACTCAATTCTTTGGCGTATTAGACAGCGGATAGCTGCTCGGATGTTGGGTCTGCAGTTCAATTATGATTGCTCCATGTCTTCATCCCTGAAGATAAAGATATCAGGGCAAAGGTCAAGTTCATCTGACCAAGTACAAAGTCATCATTTCTAAGAGTTGGAGCAACTCTAGAGAAAGATTGAGGATGAAACCCAATCACCAGTGTTTAAAGGGGAAGCCAGATTTAGAAAAACAGAAAATATTTTCCAAATAAATGTTGGTTCTTGTCTGACACCTTGTCAAGCTGGTCAGGAAAACGACACATCTAGAACAGTGATTCTCAGCATCTTTTTTAAAAATATGACCCCCCCTTGGAGGCTTTGAAAATATTTTTCCCATAATCATCTTCATAGTCCTATGAAAGTTTAATACCACAGATATGCTATATACCTGTGTATTCTAGGGCTGCCGTAACAAATTACCACAAGCTATGTAGGTGAAAGCAACAGAAATTTGTTGTCTCATAATTCTGCAGACTTGAAGTCTGATATCAAGATGCTGGCAGGGCCATGCTTTCTCTAAAGCCTATAGGGAGGATCCTTCCTTGCCTCTTCCTCATTTCTCATTGTTGCTGTCAATCCTGGTATTCTTTGACTGGCAGAAGCATCACTTCAATCATGTGGCACTTTCCCTGTGTATCTTTCCAGTGCCTCCTCTGTGCATGTCACTGTGGCCAAACATCGCTCTTCTTATAAAGACACCAGTTATTGGATTAGGGCCCACCCCAAATCCAATATGACCCCATCTTCCCTTAATTATACCTGCAAAGGCACTATTTCCAGATAAAGTCACATTCTGAAGTTCTGGGTAGACATCAATTTTTGGAGACACGATTCAACCCAGAACAATCTTTTTTTGTACTGTATCTGTGCTTTGTACAAAGAGTAAGATTTTTTGCCACCCTTCCTGCCAAGGTCTAATTTACAACCCCTTGGGGGTGATATAACCCTTGATGAAAATTGCATGCTTTAAGACAAGGGTAAGCAAAGTATGTTCTGAGGGTTAAATCCGGCTGATCACTTACTTTTGTAAAGAGTTTTATCGGCACATAGCCACACCCATTCATCTGCACAGTTTTATGGCTGCTTCTGGGCTATATCTACAGGGTTGAGTAGTTGTCACAGAGACTGTCTAGCCCACAAAACCTGAAATATTTATTATCTGGCCCTTTACAGAAAAGATTTGTCATGTCCAGCTTTAGAGCACTGGGGCTGAGAATTAGACGTAGAGAAGTGTTTTAGTTCACAGAGTGACAAGTTATCAAATAATATTTTGGCTTTATGATTTCATAATATTCATAGGACCTAGGGTGTTGTCATACTGGGGTGTTCATTATGGTGGAACAAAGGAGAGTCAGCAGAGGCCAAGCTAATTCCAGGAGGCTATTTAGGTGGAAGGGTGTTTTTAGATATTATCAGCTTAGATGGAATTGATCAGGTCAAGGGTTTTAAATATTATCAGGAGAAGCAAGCCAGTACCACAAAGCAGGGAGATTGAATATTAAGTCTGGGTATTTGCTTAGAAAAGAAATGGGAAAACTTTGGCTTAAAAAAAAAAAAGAAGGGAAAATCCATGAATCAAAGATAAGCTGATATTAATAAAATAATAATTGCTTTAAAAATGTACCAATAGCTAACATTTATATGAAATGACTTTTTGTTTGCTTGACATTGCTCCAAAAACTCTCAACATATTCACTCAATAAATCCTCAAAGAGCTGAATATCAATATAATAATATTAAAAATAATATCAGCAAAAGGATTTAGCATTTATTGACCATCTGCTCTGTAATAAAACCGAACTTCAAAAATCACCCCTGAAGACAGGCAGTTTCTTTCCATCTTACAAACGGGGAAACTGATGCATAGAGAAGGTCCTTGCATGAAATCACAGAGATATACCCAGTACATGGCAAGGGCAAGACTTGAACCCACGTTTGTCTGATGCTAATAGTTGGGTTTGCTCTGCATTTCTTCACACGCACACCAGCAGTATAGATAGACAAGTAGAATCAAAAGACAAGGAAGTCAATAAAAGTAGAAGGATAAATGGGCACAAAGAATAGCAATAGGAAAAAATTAATGGTTTCTTTTTCTAAAATAGGAATCTTTTCTTTCTGTCTTGCAATGACTTTCCATGTTCTGCTTGGGGTTCCAAACTCTAATAGGTATGTGTTTGTATATACTGACAAATTCCAATTAAAATGACAAAGATGTAAGCTTCATGATGATTCTTAAGAGTAGTTACAATGTTTTTCAGTTCTCATTAAATGGCATCTACTGATAGGATTTTAGACTGATAAGAATTTTAACTGAAATAGAAATACTCAGCTCTGCCTCACCATCCCAGTCTTATCAGGGAAAAAATAGTGCCCCATTTAGTTTATTTAACACATATTAGATATCTGCACTGTGCCTAGTATCTGATTCTGCTTTTCCCTGTTAGACACAAGCCAGGAAATTGCAGTTTCTTCTGGGCTAATCCACAGGGGATGGCAGAGTGGGAAGTACAGTGTCCTTACCTGTGTCTGATAAGAATACCTACCTTGTACTATTTTTAAGAGGTTTAACTCAGATAGTATATTAAAAATATTTGGAGGAATACTTGGCAAAATGTAGGTTCTCAAAAACAGTGGTATTTTTTTAAAGAGGAACAAGAGCTAAAGGAACAAGCTGGGAAAGCATCTTGGTCAGAGAAACCAAAGTCAAGGGGGAGAACAATGACACCTGGCCAATGACAACTTGACCAGTCACGCCTGGCTCTAGAGCGATGGAGCCATGACCTAAGGAATATGGGCAGCCTCTAGAAACTAGAAAAGGCAAGAAAATGAATTATTCCCCAGAAACGCCAGAGGAAAGACAGCCCTGCCAAACCTGACATTAGCTAAGTGAAACCCATTTTATACTTCTGGCCTCAAGATTGTATGATACTGTGTGTTTGTTTAAGCCACTAAGTTTGTGGTAAGAAGCAGTAGGAAACTAACACAATCAACCTACCCTATTCCAGGGCATGTCAGTAGATGTAATGTCCTCAGCCTTCTTCACTGGCACTCAGAGGTCTCATGATTCTCCTTCTAACATCTAAGACAGGTAGAAGATTGCTCTTCACAACCCTAAATACAATCTGTATGACCAAGTAGGAACCCACTGAGTGTGATACTTTTGAGTAGAATTAAAGTCTGCTAAGGTTTGGATGGACAAATTCTTTGCCAAGGAGTCAGTCTCACGTACTGCTTTGTCCAGGTGCAATATATGGTAGATTTAGAAGTATGCATTGCTTGTAGGACTCACCCTGTAGGTCTGCCTCTATCTTTAGTATTTTGCATGGTTGTATATATGTTTCAGGATACAGAGTGCTATGACCCCACCCCCATCTTCCTCTTCCAGTGCTTCATTCTGAGAGTTATGGATGGAAAGGAGTTAAGAAAGGCTGAAGTATGTGGATATGAGACTGTAGAAAAGAGACATATTTTGGCTGTTTCACAGTTTGTTTTTCACCTCACAGAGATGGACAGAAGTGTTGGGAATTCTTGGATTTCTGTTTAATGTAACCACTGTGCTCCAGAATTGTGCCAAACACTGAAAGAAAGCCAGAGGCTTATTTAAGTCATTCCCTATCAGCTGGGGTCTTCTATCACAGATGCTACTGCTTTTGATCTCAGTCCAGTTCCAATTAGAAGAAATCATTTCAGATGTTTCCATGAGGGCTCTCATTAGACTTTGTTCCTAGCACTCCTGTATTGGGTTGGCCAAAAAGTTCCTTCGGGTTTTTCTGTAACATCTTTCAGAAAAACCCAAATGAACTTTTTGGCCAGCCCAATACATTTCCATCCTTTTAAAAAACGTGCACCCTCATGGAAAGCTGAAAGGGATTTATTTTTATTTTATTATTTTATTGAATTTATTTTAAAATCAAGGGGAAAAGAATTTTTGTCCATGGCAGAAATTTATATGAAATGAGGTCTGCTAAAAAGTTAGGACTTGGATCATTGTGTTCCCTCATGTTATTTTACAAATTCTGCAGCCGTTATCACATGGGAAATATATTCTTATGCTTAAAGCAGAATTAGGTGTACAGTGAATAGATTTTGGACCACTTCCACAAGATTTAATTTCTTCAGAAAAATAATCTGTATCATCTACAGTTTAGAATTCTCAAGATTTCTTTGTCTTGAC